AACAGCCACAAGCACAGTCCAGACCAATGGTGTATGTCAGCCCTGGCCAATCTGGTAGTACTTGTAAGCTCTGTCAAATCTGTTCACCCCTTACCAGTTCTGTCACCTGTGCCACTTCCTCAACCCTAGTGAACATTGTCTTTTGGGACAGTCTCCCCCACCTCATGTTTCCCTCATAGATTCTTTTCTCGTCTCCTTTTCTGGCTCTCCAAGGGCTATGTGCCTAGGGAAAAAATGACCCTGGCCCATTCCCTACCTTTTTCCCATCCCTCTAACCTAGTTTGAAACCTTGGTCATTTGGGGTCAGAGAACCAGGAAAGTACCTTCCTGCTGCTCAGCTAAAAGAAAGGCTCTCAGAAGAGCAGGAAAACCAAGAGAATGGGGCTCACACCTATATGGAAGGTGGGGGCTACCCCACAGGGTGCTGGACATGCTGGCCCTGGGAAGGCCTGCTGTCATGTGGCTGAAGGGACAGTTGGCAACCAACTTGTCAGTCTTCTATGGCACACCCCCACCTCAACTCAAGGGACTTGACCATATCACTTAGGCCCTGGGCCCCTTCACCCAAGGGAAGTTGCCTGGGCAGCTTGGTTCTGGTGTGTGGGGCTGGGGATGGTTCCTAGGGCTTAAGTGCCTGCCAGAGTCCTGTATTCCCACAGATGTGGGTCCACTTGCTCAACTTGGAGTCCATGGGTCAGCAGGAGCTGGCTGCAGGAGTTTCCCCAGGCTTAGGTGCAGATATCTTCAGCAGCTCCAGGAGCCACTGCCCTGGGAGATTCTATGTCTTCCAAAGTGGCAGACTGCAGAACCTTTGGGGAAATGGAGCCCAGTGTTTCCCTTGGACCAGGCACCCCACCTCTGAGATTCTTCCTCAGCTTGAAAGAGGACCAGAGTCGCTGGTTTAATACAGGTGACTTGGTTTATTCATACAGGGAGGATTGAATGGGATGTCCAGATTCCCCGCCCCCCCACCCCCGATTTTCTTACTCAAGGTGTGCTTTAAGCAAGGACTGCAAACTTAACTGCTGGCCATAATAGGAGGGAGGAAAAAGCGAGATCCTTTATTTAGACATGATTTTAGCAATTTGAAGGAATCAAAAATATTCGATTTCATAATTTAAAAAACCCTAGGGCTTGGATTTTATATGTTTTTTTAAAATCTCATTTTTGGATATTATTCTATGATTAATATGAAGCCTTAGGGAGATGGGCGAGGGTGTGATGGGTCTGTTACCTTCTAGGCCTTTACCAATGAGTAGGGAATGAACAGGGGTACCAGGATTCCCTCCTTCTCCAGGATGGGAATTTTTTCAGACTTGTGTGGAATTTTGCGTTCAAGTTGATTCTAAATACAGGTTGTATAGATGTACATGGAAATTCCCACAATTTCAGGAACACCTTCTGAGAAGTGGGGTGACATAACCTCACGAGGAGCCAGATCTGGTCCTAGTGCCTAGTTATTGAGATGAATGACAGTCCCATGTATCCTTAGTTGGGTACATGCCTGCTGCTACAGCTGTTCCATAGGGGAGTGGGCTACAGAGGGTAAGCTTTGTGGTAAAGACCCCTAACGGCAGCTCTAGAGCAAGCAAAGCTGTACTTACTAAGAGAAAGAAACTCAGATAAGCCAGGCCAAGTTTGTGGGAGTCCTTTCTTAACAACAGTGTATCATGGGTTTGTGCCTTAGGCAGAATGATCCTGGAGGCTGAGCTGTATCAGGTAGAGCAGCCCCCAACCCAGAACATACTGGTTGACCCTCACTCTCCCCATGGTTTACTTTAAAAGTGTGAAAACAATTCTAAATTATGAAAACATTCCTTTCATTTCAAAATCATAGAACAGGTGAAGATTCACATCCTGTTTTACAGATGGAATAACTTTCCATATGTGCTTACATTTTTTACTCTCTTCAAAAGAAAGAAGGAAGGAAGGAAGGGAAGGAGGGAGGGTGGGAGAAAAAGAAAGAACATTATAGATAGAGCCAACCATCTCTACCCTGCAGAAATATATGTCTTTATTTAGGATTTCCTTGTGTGTTTTGTATTTTCTATAAATAGTGTGCTTTGGGGGCTTATTTTTTATTCAACAGAGTGTGCTGAGATTTATCTATGTTGATACAGGTGGCTTGTTTATTCATTTTAAGTGATGTATGGTATTCCATTGTTTGAATGAACAAAAGCCTATCCATACTCTTATAGCTGGGCTATTTGGTTGCTTCTGGTTTTCTGTAGCACACAATGCTGACATGAGAGGTTTTGCACATTTCCTTGAGCACATGTGCCAGAATTGTTCCAAGATAGAATCTAGGGTAGAATTGCTAGGTTCTATTATTATTTCATTTTGTTTAGGATCTTGATCTTCAACTCTAGACTTTAAATGCATCCTTTAGCAAAATAAAATGTGAACAGGGAATGGAAGTGCTAGACAAGAAATCACATTTTCCATTTCCCGTATGAACGCTTGAAGGCTTTTCCTGGAAGAGGGATTGTTTTTGCCAGCGGGGACTCCCAGCAAGCAGGCTGCTGAGGGCAGGAGCTCCAGGAACCCCAGAGGTGACTGGGTTTTGTTCGTTGCCTTAGGACTCCACAGGTGCATCCTTGTGGGTCCATGACCAAGAGAAGAACTCCCATTGGGGAGAGCCAACCAGCCAAGGACAAAGGGTCAAGTCGGTTTTTTACTAAATCAGGGCCAGGCGAAAGGACCCTCGGAAAACTAGTAGAGTGTAGTTTGTGTTTGTTTCTTCCCATGGGGCAGCTGGTATGTTTTAGTAAACACTGGGCAGAAGGTGTAGCTTTTGGTTAGGAAACAGGGAACTGGTACCAAGAGGTCAAAGGAGGGTCAAGTATGTAAGAAAATTGTGAAAAACAATCTGTTTGTGCCTGTGTGATTTTTGTGAATGCTTCCTAGTACCCACCTCCTTAAAGAATAGCTCCTGGACAAACTATAGGTATTATCTTTCATTCTTCCATCAGTAAATTTAATTTGTGGCTTGAAGGTTGTTATAAATAGGCATTAGGGCCAGCTATGCCATTAAGACTTTTAACTATGCTGTGCTTTTGTCTTTTGTAGAAGTTTGGGATTTATGATTTTTTTTCTGTGATGCTAATGATTAAAAGCAGGTCGTCATGTATGCTATGCAATGTTCTATCACTGAGTTACATTGTCAGTCCATTTGTAGGAGTTTGGCATGTAGCACCAGGGGATGAAGTCCCCTTGGAAAGGGCAAGATCACCCTTGCTCCTGGATTTGAAGTAAATTTTAGTGTTCTGCCCTAGAGGAATGGTTATGAGCATGTGTGCATGTGTGCGTGTGTGTGCACATGTGTGCGTGTGTAAATGAGGTGCTATTTTTTCAATCTTGACCCAAATCTAAGTGGTTCTTTCCTCTAGTTGAATTCCCTGCTCCCAGACCCTATTGGTTGTGTGTGTTGTGGGGATGACTATTCATAAAGCAATATACCAGGAAGAGGTCAAGAGGACACATCAAATTCAAGAACAACAAAAGCCTGCTCCTTTTCAGAGCTTATCAGCAAGAACAGTGTAGGCTGGCTTTGTGTTTGGGGAGGGAGGGGTCACACGGAGGCATGTGGCCCTGGCTGCACAGCTAGTCAGTCTCTTGTTCCTGCCAAATGCGGCGGTAGATTCGTGAATGTTAATTTACACAAGACAGTTGGTGTGCACTGTCTCTAAAAATAATGCTGACTCTCACACATGCATGGGAAAGCAGATAGATGTGCCTGCCTGCCTCGGAGCCCCCACCCCCGCCACAGGATAGATCTTTTCTATCCTTGAAACAGGGGTAAGCTTTAACTCTCTATTTAAGAAGAAAGTCTTTTATTGTTTCTGTTTGCAATTTAGTTTTGGAGTGTCAGAATCTTGCAAACACCTGGCCTGACTTCTGCCACACCCCGATTAATGGATAAGGAGACTGCAGCCTGCTGAGCTCTCTGCCTGGCCCAGGTATTCACTTGGTTCATGCTTCACCAGCTTCTTTCCCCAATGCCAGGGCACTGACTAGCATGTCCTTGCTAAGAAAGTGTTCCTGAAGGGAAGCTTCTTCTCTGACCACACAAGGCTTTTTCCTATACCGCTCCCTCTTCTAAACACAATGGGCAGCAGCCCAGAAGAAGCTGAGATTCCCTCTGAGCCACTGGGGTTTGGCAAGAGGTACCCAAAGGCCTCCAGTGTGGCCTGGGTTGAGATCCTGCTTGGCCTGCCCCCCACTTGAAGGCAGCAAGGTGAGGTAGTGATCTCTCCAGGCCACCTAGGCCCAAAGAGTCATTTATTGCAGCCTGGGTGCTCAAGGTCACCATATCCATGGCTGACTTACAGTCATCTGGGAAAAGCAAGTCTAAGATTCACATTGGCACACACTGTACTATGGCTCTGTCCAGAGGACAAATAAAGACCCTTCCATAAAGGTTTGCTCTCCTGAGAACTTCATTAGGGGTCACTTGGGCCCTCCATTCTGTTAGAAGCAAATGACCATCTCCTTTCCTGTGACCTGAGGGTGGGATCCACACCCTGGTCATCCTGGATCCTCAAGAGACCACACAGTACTCCTACAAATATCCAATGCAGGAAAAAAAAAAAGGGGGATGGGCAAGCAAAGTTTAGTCATGGAGGGCTAAGGGTGCGTCCCCATCATGGGCAGTAGAGCTATGCAAAATCCACAAATACTGACTCAAGAATGTGTTTGCCCATGCAGGACAAAGGATCTGCATGACTCACACCCACCTGACACCTCCTATGGGTGTGGTGAGACACAAAAATGGGAGCTGCTGAAATAACAGGCATCAGGCACAGTGGCAGGAAATATGGGCCATCTCTCAAGAAGAGAGTCTGATGCTGGATATCTAAATGCTCAACCCCCTTATGCCCACCTCCACACAGTCTGAAAGGCGTCTGCTGATGCAGCATTCTGAGACCACAGAGTTGGAACCCGGTGTCCCTCTGTCCTTCCGTCTTTCTGCCCGCAGGCCCCCCACAAAGCTCACTCACCTTCTGGGACCCGGATGTGGAGCTCTTGAGTGAGCCCCGCTTGAATGAGCTGCTCATCTTCTTCAGGGAGCCCATGAGCAAGCCTCCCACATCCCCCTTGTAGCAGGCCCACTGCAAGGGGGCTGCCCCCTCACCGTGTGAGCAGAGGCAAAGCAACACACAGCCACATTCTGCTGGTAGGTAAGAGCGTCCCAAGCCTGAGGTAAGGCCTGCAGGCAGCTGGGTCAGCCCAGGAGGAGCAGGGACTGGTTCCTACTGGCCACTCCTGCCTGACTCCCGCCCTGCTGATGCTCCTGGACTCTCTTCTATAACATCTGTAATCAGGCTTAATCTCTGCCTCCCCCAAAGGTTTATAGCGGACAGATTTAGCAAATGGCGATTGAAAGTAAATCTACTTTGAGAAAGTGGTGGCTGCAAAGGGTGGCCAAATGGGAAGGATTTGGGCATCCAGAAAGGCACATCGCAAAAGAGGAGAGCCCTCCATAGCTGGCAATCCCTTGGAGGGCAGCAACCAGACTCCTGGAGGCTTAGAGATCACCTGGGTGACCCCAGATCTTGGAAGGATCTGCACCAGGCCCAGGCTGTGGGTCAAGAATCCTTCCTGCAAGTCATTATTGTGCATTTCCTCCCTGTTACTTTGGAGAACTGATGTGCATTTTTATGTATATCCTGCATCAAGTTTTATTTCCATTCTATACTGCTTCATGTGGGGAGTTCTCTTCATCATTTCCTTTTTCAGGCATGCCTACCTTGATTCTCTAAAGGGCAAAGTAGCTCTTTGCCTACTTCTCTGCTGTAGGCAAGTGGCAGGCCCAGCTACATTCACAGGTCACCCCAACCTGCCCTGAGTGTCATTCTTGTTGCTGGCCCTTCTTGTGCATCCTTCAGGCAAATGCATCACTTCCAATGTGCAGAGGAGCAGACAAGCTCAGAGCTGTGTATTCCTATTGGCATAGATAAATTTTTGAAGGATGAACAGGCTGAAGATAAATAAAAGATAAGTTGCTGGGACCACACAATCCACAAACTAGGGTTCTCCATCTCAGTGTCTGTTTTTTTTTTTTTTTTTTTTAATCCAAGAGGTCTGTTCAACTGTGGAGTTTCAGAGAGAGTAGAGGCATGGCCTCCTCCATTCAGAGTCTGGGTTAGGGGCTGGGGAGAGTTTCTTCTCTACAACATATCCCCCAACTGGGCAGAACTGGACCTCCATTTTCCAGCCCTTGCTTCTTACTGCTTCTTTCAATCATTCAACCCATATATTTTGAGCTTCTAATATGAGACACATACTGTATTTGCCAGTTGCTGGGGACACAGTGGTGAACTGCAGGTGAAAATTGTTGTCCTCTTGGAACCGATCTCATTATGGAGAGCTGACACCTTAAACAATAAAATGTACAGCATGCTGGAGGCTTGTGAGTGTCCATGAGGACAGAAACAATGAGAAAGGGCAGAGTGGGAGTGGTTGCAATTTTAAATAGGAAAAGTCTCAGAAGATCTTCAATCAATGATCAGGGATGAGTATGTGGTGAAGGAGCACACTGAGCAGGAATTTGGGAGGAGGGCTTGTAGTGCAATGGCCCGGGCAAAGAACTTGACTAGGGAGTGTTCTTGGCATGTTTGAAAAAAAAACTAAGAAGGTACAGGTGGCTGGAAGCTGCATGAGGGGATAAGGGTGGACTCACAGGGGGATGATCATGCAAGCCCTAGAAGCCATTGAGACAGAACCTCGATATGTTACTAACACTGGCTTTAAGCTTGAGATCTTCCTGTCTCCCAAATTGCTGGGATTACAGGTGTGCACCACTGTGCCTGGAAGGACCTGGGGTTTTGTTCCCAATTCATGATCTGATTTGTAGTGTGAAAGATCATGGAGGTTTCTGGGCTAGACTAGCTGGAGAGAGCAGTGTGGAAATAGGGAGCCTCCTACTCAGTGGTGTGGTGGTAGTTGGAGCAGAACTGGCAGTGGTGTCATTGGTGATATTTTAAAGATAGAGCCAAGAGAATGTGCCAAAGGATGTGGGGTATAAGGAGACATAAGTCAGGAAACAGCAAGGTGTTAGGCCAGAGCTCCTGGAAAGATGGAGTCACCTCAAATAAGATGGAGAAAGCTGTGGGTGGAGCAGGTTTCAGGGATGATTTGAGACTTCTATGTTGCTAAACCATATGGCAGTTTTAATCCTAATTTTCTGTGACCTTACAAGAAGGACTGGACCCTGCTGATGCCTTCTTATCAGGCTGTCCTAGTTTTCTTCCTGGTCCCAAAGTCCTCAACACCCTGGATGGTCTATCCTTTTGCATCTAAATTGTTACTCTTCCTTAAGCCTCTGTGCAAGCCTTTATTCTTTCCCCAATCTTAGGTGACTTCTCCCTGGCACTCAGCTTTATGAACATTTGATAATTCCCCAGTGGCACCCTCCAACCCAAACCACCTTGCTGGGCTTTGTACTTTGTGCCTGTTTTCTGAGCTGACTCCTCATCTGCACAGCTCAAAGCCATGTGCCTTAAACTCAGCATTTCCCTGACTGCTCTCTGATCTGTTTCCCAGACCTGGTCTTCTTCCAGGTTCCCATCTCAGTGATGAGCATCTCATCAGGAAGATATGAAGCCGGAGGCCTTGGAGACTCTAAGACGACTTTTGTGCCCTGAGGTCCCTTTTCTAACCACTTCCACATTGTGGTCTCCTGGACAGCTTGAACATCAACATGGTCTACAACTATTCAATATAGAGTAATCATTTAAAACTGTAGATCTGGTCACATACTGCTTCTGCTTAACCGCACCCTCCTTGGGATTTAGACTGACCCAAATCCTCTTCTACCTTGGGGGTCCTGCCTCTGCCTGCCTCCCCTTTACTCCAGCGTCTGGTTTTGCTTTACAATAGAGCTGCCATGCTCCTTGGACATCACTGTATTCTCTTGTTCTCAGCAGTACTAAAACACCACCATTGCACCCAGGACTAAAGCATCACTTGGTTAACATGTACCTCCCTCTCTGGGCCTCTTTGGGGCCCATTCTGGATCTGTTAGACTCACTGTGGCCTAGTTCTACATATTTATAATTTTCAGAGCATGGAGAAAGTATGGAAATATCCCCAACTTGTTTTTTAAAGCTAGCACAATCCTAACATCAAAACGAGACAAGGAAAAGTCCTCTTAGGCCAGGTCACTTGTGAAACTAGATATAAAACTCATGAAGATTATGGAAACAAATTGAATCTACTGGAGTTCTAAAAGAACAATACTACATGATCGTACGGCTACACCTTATTCTTAGGAATACCAAGATGACTCAACACTAGAAAATTCATTCACATAGTTGAGCTTATTAACAAATTGACAAAAAATTTTCTATGGTCATCTTGGTAGATGCCAAAACCACATGATATCTTTCCATAGGGGGAAAGAAAGAAAGGAAGAGAGAAAGAAAGAAAGAGAGAGAGAGAGAGAGAGAGAGAGAGAGAGAGAGAGAAGAAGAAGAAGAAGAAGAGAGAAAGAGAGGATTGAAGAAAAATAAAATGAAAGAGAAAGGGGGCAGAGAGAAACAACTGTCCCCATAATATTCAACATTTTTCCAGAGATCATAATCATGCAAGAGAGAAATAGTATAAGTATAGGAAAAGAATTTTAAAAATCTGTCCATGAAGAGCCATGAAAACCAGCAAATAAGCTATTCAAATTAATAAGAAGATTCAGCCAAATGGCCAGATACAAGGTCAAATCAGAAAAGAGGACTAGGTCTCCTGTTCTCAAGCATTTTTGATTAGATAATAATTTTCATCAAGTTGAAAAAAATTATAAAAAATCTAGCAAAAAAGCATTGTCAGATCTATGTGAAGAAAACAACAACAAATGTTTACTAAAGAATATAGAAGATGGCCTTAATAAGAGATATATTCTCTTTCATTATTGGAACACTTTTTGGAAATTAATTGAGAAATTTCTATTAAACTAAAATCTGTGAGGGGCTGGGGATGTAGCTCAGTGGTAGGGAGCCTGACCCACATGCAGGGAGACCCAAGGCCCTGGGTTCAATCTCCAACACTGCAAAAATAAATAAATAAGTAAAAAAAAAAAAAGTACACATAATCTTTGATCATTGACGCTCTCCTGAGAATTGATCCCATAGGAGAACTTCAAGCTCTAACATATAAAAATATATACGTATGTATTTAAGAATGTTAACTGTTGCACTGTTTGTAGTGGAAAAACAAACCTGGAAACAAAGTCAGTGCCCTTCAAAGAAATAAGTGAATAAATCATGGTACATACATGTAAAGAATAACATATAACCTTCAAAAACAGTGGTTCCATACCTGTTGACTTGGAAGGATTTTCATAATATATGATTACAGAAAACAAGCTGCAAAAAGGAGAAGGTTGTATATAATATGATGTAACTCTTTTTATAAAACAAAACACACATATGGATACAGATGTGCTTATGTATCTACTTGTCTATCCATCTAATGAATATTTATGGAAACTGAAAAAAGTGTGGGTGTTTAAATTCTAGTATTAATATTTAGCAAAATGATACACGTGTACTAAACAGTTACATGACCTACAAATGAAAACTTGCAGTTCCTGACTCAGAGATAATAATTTTTAATTCATTTATCTGTTTCTTTGATATTTACCCTTCATATTCTAACATGTTTTAAATTTCTTTTATTTTTCATTGTTAAAGATATACTGACTTTTAATTAAGGAAGGGAAAGATATTGCACATCAGCTCTCCCCACCCCTCCCCATCCATGCTTTTCCTGAAGTCTTCTTTGTGGAGTGATAACATAGTTCTAGAGTTAAATCAATATATAGTGTTTTCATGGCTTTGATTATGAGATTATTAATGTGTAATTCATAGTGTTTCTATTATTCCTTCCAGCCTTTTGTTTTGCCTGAAGTTGACACTTGTTGAATTTTCCTTTATTTAATCAGTTTTCTGTGTTTCATTATGAACTAATTACTGAATTCTGTGCCTATCTATAATATTACTCTTAATACTGTCAAATTGGTGACACATGTCTTCCATTTTCTTCATTGAAACCAGACTGGTTCACTCTGGTGGCTTGAAAGACTTTCTTCACAACTGGAGTACCATGACTCACATGAACCATCATGGTGGGATTTCCCTTCACCTTGCTCCTGAGGAAGAACCCTCATTCTTGATTGGCTACCTTATTAGATGCTCAATATCCTTTTGATAAAGAATCTATGGGAGATAAATTTTTTGAGATATTGCATGTCTGAAAATGTTTTCATTCTCCATTCATCTCTGATAGATTGTTT